GGGGGCCCTCGGGGGACCGGGGCCGTGCGCGGGGCACTCGGGCAGCCCCGGCCCCTCGGCCCAGCGCGAAGCCGAGGGCGCTGGGCTGTAAGGCCTGCGAGGCGGGGGACCGGCTCACCCCGCGCATAGGGTCTTTGGGGTGGTCGGAGGCGCCGCGTTTCCCCCAGGGCTCAGTTTTTCTTTTTCGAGGGGGCAAACCTGCCGGGCTGCAGCGGAGCCGGCCTGTGTCCGACAGAAGCTGGGTGTCAGGCCCAAGTCGTGCCTCCCGTCTGATGCGTTAGCCGTGTCTGCGCCCAGCTCAAGTTTTTATCCTTTGGAGCCCCAGACTGAAAACCAGTTAGGAGTACAGAAGGTGGTGCTGACGAGGGTTCCCAGCCGTAGGCAGTGATGCTGCTTGGATGCAGAGGTTAATTTCGCCCTTGAAGAAACTTGAGCAGAAGCTGCCGAAGGGCCCCGGCGCCTGGCCGCACTGGCGCGGGTGCTGTCAGGCTCTGCGGCCTGACCCGAGCAGTGTTTGCAGCGGGCCCTGGGCGGCTTCCGCGGGCTCCGCTCCTCCCAGCGTCGTCGTGGCCTGGAGGTTGAGGGAGAGGAGCCTTCACTCGGTCCTGCCAGCCCAACGTCTGAGGAGGGAGTTAGGGCTCCACCATACTGACTGGTCTGCGTGCTGGTCCCTCTTTCAGGATGACGACTTCAGGCGCTCTGTTTCCAAGCCTGGTGCCAGGCTCCCGTGGGTCCTCCAACAAGTATTTGGTGGAGTTTCGGGCAGGAAAAATGTCATTAAAAGGAACTACCGTCACCCCAGATAAGCGGAAAGGGCTCGTGTACATTCAGCAGACGGATGACTCCCTCATTCACTTCTGCTGGAAAGACAGGACATCTGGGAACGTGGAAGATGTAAGTGTCTGCGCGGCTGAGCCTCATCTCGAGGACGCCAGCCTGGTCAGCGAGACAGTACGATTTTACAGAAGGACGTGTAGCTGCCAGCACTGCACTCTGGGGGACAGTAGCTGCTTTACCACTTGGAGTGCATTGGTGGCATATGTGGGAATATTGGTTTGGTGCCCTCATCAGCTGTTTTGCTGTGCTTATGGGTCTTCCTGGACTTCACAGTTATACAGATTGCTCGTGTCACTGTATATATACTTTACACTTTGAAGATTAGGTGTCTAGAATCGGAGAAGCCACGTACAAATCCTGACCTTTATCACAGCCCTCCAGAAAGCTTTATCTAGCGGTCATTTTATTTAGTGTTCTTTGTTCCTCCGACTAAATTGTTTTTTGTTAGTTTTGAGAGCAGGTCAGAGTTGACTTTTTAACTCATCTTGGAATGTTGTTCCCAAAACATCTCAATTAAAAATCCTTCAAGAGCTGAAAGCCCCCCTTCCTTGTTGAGCACCGAGCCCCTCTCCTGGCCCTCATGCTCTTCATGGAGTGCCTCTGACCCTGGCTTATCTGTCCTGTGGAGAGCCTGTTGGGGAGGGGCTTGGTGGCTTGTTGGTCTGTGTCCTCTCCACCCACACCCACACCCCCCCCCCACGCACACTCTGACACAGGGTCCAGCATGTGTCCTGGGAGGTTCTGGGGCTGCGAATGATGTGTACTTATGTGAAGCTGACCGTGTTCTCTTCTCTGGCTCTCTGTAGGATCTCATTATCTTCCCTGACGACTGTGAGTTCAAGCGTGTGCCGCAGTGCCCCAGTGGGAGGGTCTACGTGCTCAAGTTTAAGGCAGGGTCCAAACGGCTCTTCTTCTGGATGCAGGTGTGCAGAGAGTTTTTTTGCGTTTTTCTTTTCTCGCTGTCATAGAATTAAGTTTAGGAACTTGCTCGATGGATGGTAGAATTCGCTTTCACAGACCTGCTGGTGCTGACAGACACGCTTGCTGTGGAACCCAGGATTCCAGGGTGTTGCCTTTCGGTGGGGCCGTTGGAGGAGGGGCCTCTTCCAGAGGCCATGCACTTGCTGCTGGGCTCTGGGGGCCCTTTCAAGGTATGGAATTTCCTGGCAGACAGACAGGAGTGATTTCCAGGCTGGGCCCATCTTGATGCATTGACGGGCACATGGCCTTTGGTTTGCTTGTCTCCCAGTGCCCCTCAAGGGTCATGAGGACCCCGGAGCAGAAGCAAGGATGACCATGTGTAGTGCCCCTGTTGTGTTTTTACGGAAGTGGAGTGTCGTCTCCAAGGTCTTCTGAGCTCTGCCTTTGCCCCCAGTGGTGTGCTTGGGGGTCTCTGGGTGTTGGCGCACCAGGGCTTCCTCGTACCCACCGTGCAGATGGCGCCTGCGGGGCCCACAGTGTAGACGGCACCCTTCGACTTGAGCAGCCGCCACTCCTCCCCCCTTTTGCCAGTGGCCTCTTTTCCGTCTGCTCCGTCACAGGCGGTGTTGTAAAGAATGACCTTGTGCCAACGCTCTGTCCTGTGCATATGAGCGTAGCCGTATGTTCAAATCCAGGCGTGGACGTACTCCTGCAGTGGTGTGCGTGCATTTGCAGTTTTGACAGATGTCGCTGGGTTCGCTCCCCAGAGGTTGAACCTGCTGCTGACCCCCATCACTTTCTAGAGCAGGGCAGGGAGGGCTCTCCTCTTTGGGGCTGGATGGTCTGGGTTGCAGCTGCTTGCCTCTGCCAAGTGCTGTGAAAGTGGCGTGGACGATGAGTGAGTGACTGGGCGCGGCTGTGTTCCGGGACTTGATTTGCCAACACAGATGGGGGCTGTGGTTTGCCAGCCGCTGGCGTAGAGCTTGTTTCTACATGGTTTTACCAAGAAATGTCAGACTTGCACCACGCACTACCCTTTCTGTTCTTCCCCATTTGCTCTGGCGGCTCTCCTCCCCTCTGCCCTGAGGGTGGGGACTGTGCGTCTTATCCCCCTGGCATCCTGCAGGCCCACAGCACATGCTCAGTGACTGTTGGATGAATGAGTCGTGGGTACCTTGTCTCGGGGTTCTAGGGGCGCTTACAGGGTGACGCTGCCAGGTGACCTCCACACCCAGGTGCTCGTTGTCTGGTGCCTGCAATGTGCTTTCTCAAGTTCCCCAATAACCCCAAAGGGCCATGGGCCAGGGCTGGTCCATGGGCAGCGATGTGATAAAAGAGTTATTTCATTGCGTTACGTGTGTTGAAGGAAGGATTCGGGGTTTTAGACTGTCGTGTAAAGAAGCGGGTTCTGGAGGATCGCAGGCCCTGTGCACACTGAGTGCCCTTAGTGCTTTCGTCTCCCCGTCTGTAATGTGGGCATTGTCACATGTCAGACTTCTGTCCTGTCGACCCTGCTGGGTCCTCTCCCGGGTGCTGTGTGACTGTGCACAGGCGACTTCACCTGTCTGAGCCTCAGGTCCCTCGTCTGTAAGCCGGGACAGCAGCGGGCGGGTGCTCAGCTGCGGCTGTTGTCATATCCTCCCCTGCAGGAGCCCAAGACGGACCAGGATGAGGAGCATTGCCGGAAAGTCAACGAGTATCTGAACAACCCCCCGATGCCCGGAGCACTGGGGGCGAGCGGGAGTGGAGGCCATGAGCTCTCTGCACTGGGCGGTAATGGTCACCTTCCAGGATGTGCTGTGTGGTCGGAGGAGGTTTTAAGGATTGGGACCCCTGGTGGTGCAGGCTGGTTGTTCTTAAGTAGAAATAGAAAATTCCAAGTTAGAAGGCCTTACCATGTCCGAGTCACTCCCCACTCCCATCTTCACCTGATAGAACAGTGTCTGAGCTCCACCCTGTTGGGCCATTTCAGGCGACATTGACTGTACAATTCAGAGGCAGGTGAGTTGGGAGCCAGCCCCTCCGGGGCCATCGCAGTGGGGATGTCAGGGTGCTTGCTCTTTCTCAGCTGGAAGCCCCGGCAGCGCGGGCCCTTCCAAGAGCACCTTCCCACGGTGCTGTGGGTCTTGGTCCAGGCCGCAGGTGGACCCCACATCTGAGCCCCTTCTGTCTTCCAGGTGAGGGCGGCCTGCAGAGCCTGCTGGGGAACATGAGCCACAGCCAGCTCATGCAGCTCATTGGACCCGCCGGCCTCGGAGGACTAGGTAATGCCCCCGTTGGCCCTGGAGCCTCAGGTATAAGTCAGACAGCCCTCAGCTGTGTTTCCTTCAAGCTTCTACCTGGTTCTGTCTGAGCGACGTCTGTGAATGTGTGTTCTCTGTGCCTGCCTCCCTGGGGAACGGACTGTTTCTCTTATGGTTTGAGCTGAGAGCGGGGTGGGCGAGGCGTTCCAGGACCCCCAGGGAGGACCCAGCTCCATACTTGGGGGGAGCACGGCTGGCTGAAGAGCGAGGCCTGGGAACATGCGCTCAGGGCTCCTGCCTAGGGCCCCCTAGTCTCCCTTTGATCGGCCTACCCACTGCCACCTCCTCTCGGGCTCTAGTGGGTGTTTCTCGGACACGGGAAACGGTAGCTGGATTGTACTGGATTTGGACCGCGTGTTCCCTTGAAGCTAAGTGCACCACTGGCGTAACGGGGTGGAGTAGAAGTGACCTGACTTAACGGAATAAGCTTCCAAAACACTGCGACCTGAGCAGTTGCTCCTCTGTAGCCCCCCCGGCCTGCTGTGGTCACCACCTTCCCCTGCTTGTCCCTTGGCCTTAGTGCAGGACGTTTCTGCGCCTTTGGCAGGGGGAGGTGGGCTCTCCAGGTGGGCGTGATGCCTGAGCTCTTGTCTCCTTGCTCCTGGTAGGTGGGCTGGGAGCCCTGACCGGGCCGGGCCTAGCCAGCTTACTGGGCAGTGGAGGGCCTCCGGCGAGCAGCTCTTCATCCAGGTGAGCCTCCCACCCTGCCCCCACTGCACCCTCAGGCACCACCAAGGGCCCCCTTCTTCAAGGAGCCTGGATGTAGGAGGTGCAGGGCCAAAGAGGCACCCAGGGAGGGTCGCTTTCACGGTCTAGACTTTTCCCGGATTCCTGGCAGTGCCGGGACCTTGGGGGCAGGACTGTTGTGTCGTGGGTGCCTGGCCGCTCCAGTGCTGTCTCCTCTTCCCAGCTCCCGGAGCCAGTCAGCAGCGGTCACCCCATCTTCCACCGCCTCTTCCGCTCGTGCCACCCCAGCCCCTTCTGCTCCGGCAGCTGCCTCGGCGACCAGCCCAAGCCCCGCTCCTAGTTCAGGTAATGGAACCAGCACAGCAGCCAGCCCAACCCAGCCCATCCAGCTGAGCGATCTCCAGAGCATTCTAGCCACTATGAACGTGCCGGCCGGGCCAGGAGGCGGCCAGCAAGGTAACATGTGCTCCTGGGCTCCAGGCGGGGGGTAAAGATGCCTGCTGCCCCTGCCCACTCACTCTCTGGCTTTCCAAGGTGTGGGGCTGAGCATGTCCCCGGGCTGAGCTGCTGCTCTGCACGTGCGTCACCTCTGCCCCCTTGCCACACCACACTCAGCAGTTTCACACGTAGAGCCTTCGCTGTCCTCTCACATGGCATTTGGGCCGGCCTCAAGCCGCTGATGGCCATGTGCTTGTGCCCTAGTTGACCTGGCCAGCGTGCTGACACCTGAGATCATGGCACCTATCCTCGCCAACGCAGACGTCCAGGAGCGCCTGCTGCCCTACCTGCCCTCTGGGGAGTCGCTGCCGCAGACTGCAGAGGAGATCCAGAACACGCTGACCTCGCCCCAGTTCCAGCAGGTAGATGCTGGCCCAGTGCCCCTGCTCTGCGCTCGTTGGTGCTCTGCCTGCCTTCAGCACAGCCCCCCGTCACTGAGCGCCCTGCACCTCAGCTGGCCCAAACGGCTCCCCCTCAGAGCCTCCACCAAGCACGTGCTCAGGGGGTCTGGCTTTTCCTTTCAGGCTCTGGGCATGTTCAGTGCGGCCTTGGCCTCGGGGCAGCTGGGCCCCCTCATGTGCCAGTTTGGCCTGCCTGCGGAGGCCGTGGAGGCCGCCAACAAGGGCGGTAAGTACCTGCTCCTCCTTGCAGGCAGAGTTCATTTTCTCCTCGTAATTAAAAGAAAAAGCCTCTCTCTGTTTGTAAAGCCCAGGCTGGCTGTCCCTGCCACAGTGTCTCAGTGGCCCTGGGCCTCGGTCTGATTGTCATCTCCCCTGCCCTCTGGTCAGCAGTCCTGGGCCAGCGTCTCGAAAGCTTGTCTCATGCCTTTTTTAAATGCGTTTTAGATGTGGAAGCATTTGCCAAAGCTATGCAGAACAGTGCCAGATCCGAGCAGAAGGAGGGCGACGGGGAGGACAAGAAGGACGAGGAGGAAGACATGAGCTTAGATTAAATTATTTGGTGTCTTTTAAGGGGGCAGGCTTCTTGGTTGTGCGGTTTCAGTAGTGGCGTTTGTGATCTGTCGCGCACCCTCACCTCTGTTCCAACTTGCTGAGAAATAAAAGGCTTTTCTTCTATCTGCTGACTCTGGTTTTCCTTATGGGTCCAGGACCAGGTGCCACGGCCCCATCCCCTTTTTGGCTGGACGGGAGCTGCCCCTCTGAGGGACAGTCTGGGTGAGGTGATGTACCGGGAAGGGTGTTCCCCACTCAGGTGCTCCACTCTGCCTGGGCCTCCGTATCCGGTTCTAGACCCGTCTCAACTGCTTTACTCGTTTCAAATTTAAAGTCAACACTCAGTTAAACAGAAGTTACTTTTTAATTTTTGTTTTAAGCAGCAGGGACCAGTGATTTACAGAGCTCTCATGCTATTAAAAATTTATGGAGGGGAAAATCTCATATTAAGCTGAAAGATAAAAAGTATAAAAACCCCATTTTACCCGTTCATTTAAAAAGTCAGACATAACTTAAACCATTTCCAGAAATAAGATTTATAACCTGCAGAATCTAGAGCCTAGATAAATATACACAAACTTCATCTATGAAACGGGCTGAGGGCAGTGTCCTCAGCAAGCTGTGTGGAGGGGCCTGGGGTTCTGAGAGGCAGGACCCTGCCTGCCCGTGGGCTCCAGGCCTGGGGGTCCTGCACGGCTGCTGGAGCCTGTGGCTGGGGTCCTAGAGAGGCAGCTGTGCTACGTGGCTGGGCAGCCGCTGGCCCCCACTGCCCCCTGGACACCGGCAGAGCGAGGCAGAGTGACGGGAGCCCGGTTTACCACCAGGTTCCTCATGCAGCCACGGTAGGCTGGAAGCCGAGGGCGCAGCCTGGTGGGGGGCCCAGCCTGTGCGTCTGTGGGCTCTGGGGGTGCAGGGGAAGATGGAGGGAAGACGGGTTGGAGCAGAGACCAATGTCCCACTGCCCCCCCACAAAGCTTCAAACTCCCCAGCTGTCTCAGGAGGGTGCAAAGAGAGTGGGGTGACCCCAGTGCCTGGTCCCTGAGGGGCAGCTTCCCCTTGCATCCCCAGGCAAAGGCCACACTCACCTGGCAGGCCCCCAAGGTGCAGAGGCGCCAGGGTGTCAGCCAGGGTGAGCAGCGCAGGGCCCAGGGTGTGGTTGCTCTGCGTGTCCACTTCCAGCTGGAGCACATTCCCACCTTTGGTCACTGTGGGGCACAGGCTGCTTGTGGCTGGGCTGGGAGGGGCCCCTCTTGCCAGCCGTGGGGCCAGGGGCTGTTTGCCATGTTGCTTTGGCCTCTATCAAGTTCCTCTGCCTGGGGGTCCACAGCTGCCCCCTCCTGAGTCCCTCCCAGGCTCTCTGCTCTGCAGAAGGGGGCGCTCAGGAGTGTCTCTGGCCATGGGAAAGGGGGCACAGCTCACCTGCCAGTCGGTGCCACTGCCCATCACACAGTGCCGCAGGGGGTGTCACCAACGTGGAGAACTCGCCTGCACCATCATCCGCCCGCAGCAGGACCTGGGGTGGGGCCGGTCAGGAGGGTCCTGCCAATTGGAACCCCGCTCTGTGGCTGCGGCCCCCACCCAGCTTACCTGCTTCTCCAACACCTGCAGCTGCAGGTAGGGGGGCACCTGGATCTGGCCCAGGTGGAAGACAAGGCCGCCGGCTGTGTGGGGCCGCACCTCCAGCTCCAGACCCACGTCCGCCAATGTGGCCCCCAGGGTGTCTGCGGGAAAGGGCCGTGAAGGGAGGAAGGCCGAAGGGAGGAAGGCCCGGCCCCAGGCTCCTCCCTCTCTGGGTGTCACTCCCTCCTCCCCTGGCCTGGGGCACCTGCGGGAGTGGGGCCACCAGCACCTGACAGACCTAAAGTGACGACTCCCCCACTTCCTGCAAAGAACAGGCCCCTCTCCAGGGGGCCTGAGAAGCATGGCATGACCCCCACCATCCGCGTGGGGGCCCCCAGGGGCCGCCCGTCCAACTTCAGTCTCTTCACACAACCGCTGAACCTGGAGCTGCTAACGGCTACCTGTGGGGGACAGATGGGTGGGCATGGGATCAGACCGAGGGGGCGGTGAGGAGGGCGGACAGCGTCCAGCTGGGCAGGGGGCTGGAGATGGGGTTGGGGAGGCCAGGGCAAGGTGGTTCTCACTGGGAGTCTGGGGCTGCGGCCACTGGGAGGGAGGCCCCCCACAAAAAGAGTGTGGGGCCGGGGGCCCTCTGTGCCCTGGTACTGCTGGCTGGGCCCCTCCTGGCTCCGGGCACGGACGCCGTCCATCACCAGCTGAATCCGAGTCTTCTGCCATCGCACAGACACCTAGAGGTGCAAAGAGGCACGTCAGGATGGGAGCTCCGGGGCCCTGCCCGTGTCTTCTCTTCAGCCCCTCACCGTGTGCCATCGGCCAGCCCGTGAACGCCGGCGGCTCTGGACACGGAGCCGGGGCCCAGGGCCCTCCGTCTGAGCAACGAAGTGTCCGTGGCTCAGGAAGAGAGCCAGGGAGGGGCTGCTGGCTGTCAGGGGCACAGCGAAGAGCAGGAGCCCTCGGGGGGTGCGAGGGCGGACAAGCATCCAGAGGTGGGACCTGGAAGCGGAGCAGAGGTGTCAGCTGGGCACACCCTCCACAGCCACCCCACCTGGCCCGGCCTTACCAGTCCCCGGTGGCTGCTGGGATGTGTGCGAACTCCAGATAACTGGACAGGGGCCCCCCAAACTGGTAGGCATCTTGGATGGTCCTGAGGGGCCTGGGTAGTGTGCAGGCAGGGTCCTGGGTGGGCTGCCGGCTGCGGCGGGAGGCCTGGGGGGTCGGATGGGGATGCAGGGGTGCTTGGGGGCTGCCTTCTGCCCACCCCAGCTCCGCCCACACACCATCCCTCGGGCGCCCCACCTTGCGAGCCGCTGCAGCCCGCAGTCCTTGTGGTGCCTGCCTCCAGGTCTGGGTGCCAGGGACTGGGGCACAGCCTGAGCTCACGCTGACGCCACCCATGTTCTCCTGTAGGTCAAATACGCGCTGCGGCCCCACGAGCCTACAGAGGGCCCGCGGTGGGCAGTCAGCAGCTGGACACACGGCAGTGGGTCAGTGCCAGCCACCACCCCCCAACACCTGCCCCCGCTCACCGCCTCACAAAAACGTTGCTGATGCAGCCACTGAAGTTTCGGATGGTGTCAGACTCTGGCAAGCCCCCCAGGAGGAGCCGAGGGGGCCCCTCAGGCTGGGGCTGGGGCTGGGGCAGCAGCCCCTGGTGGGGCTTCATTTGCTGAAGCTGGTCGTCCACATAGAGCCAGACCCTGGCGAGGAGAGCACTGTTTCCTCCACCTGCCCTCACCCATCTGCTGCAGGTTGCCCCCAAGGCCCCCAGCTCTGCTGCAACCCCCACCCCTGGAGATGACAGTGAGAGGCCAGGCGGGCCAGACTCACCCTGTGGTGTTGCTGTAGAAAGCTACATAATGGGGGGCACCGTCCGCAAAGCCCCCTTGAGTTTTCACCTCGGTCCTCATAAGCCGGAGTGTCACGTGACCCTGCTGCAGGGACACCTCGCACAGCCCATCCTGGGGACAGTGGCCAGGTCAGTGGGCCAGGCCAGGGGCCCAGACTCACTCCCTCCAGCCACCTGAGACCCCAAATCACTGTAGGAGGTCAGGGAGCGGGCAGGTGGTCAGACTAGGGGAGGGAGGGACCAGAGATTAGACACGGGGAGGGACTGGAGGTCACATACGGGACGGGATCGTCAGGAGGCCAGACACGGGGAGGGATGGACCGGAGGTCAGACACAGGGAGGGATGGTCCAGAGGTCAGACACGGGGAGGGCTGGTCAGGAGGTCAGACACTGGGAGGGTGGGATGGTCAGGAGGTCAAACATGGGGGGGATGGAC